ATTTCATGGATATTGTCAAAGGCTAATTAAAACTAAAAGAATTTCAAGCTTTAGGGATATCTAGCGTAAGCATCGAAGTGTAATTAATGTTAGGGATCGAACATAAAGTTGAGTAGGCCATTTCTAGACCGATCACTATTTATATGAAGACAAGTAAATAAATTTGATAGAAACCATAATTATCTACGGTTGTGTTTTACTCTCTCTCACCCGCAGTTAGGACCCACACCAAATCTGTGTCTCCACTCAGAGACTAGATAAATTACCGCTCGCCAACTTTAACATCTTACTAAGTTTCTGAGATTGGGGTCTCACACAGAGTTACTACAGAAACTTCCAAATGAACTAAAAGATCAATCAGCCGTGGAAATAACTGAAGATGACATGAGAAAATCTCTGGGTTCCGTATAATGACACATTTAGGTTAAAAACTGAAATATCGTCCAGTGATAACATTACTAAAAGGAGCATTCTATCAGAGATTGCTAAGTTATTCGTCCCACTAGGATGGATAGCTCCAATAATCATCAGGGCGAAGCTCGTTATCCAAGAATTGTAGCTGCACGAGCTAAATTGGGATCATCCTGTGCCAATCTTCATTGAGCAAATGGAAAATTTTCCGAAAAGAACTAAAGAGTGTCGAGAAAATTACTATATGCAGGTGGACCATGAGGAAGATTACAAAACTAAATGTTACGTCATGATAGCAGACATCCAATTATCTCACCCTATGCGACTCGCCTGATAAAGCTAGTAATTTTGAATGCTCACGCCAATACACTACATGGAGGCAATAAGCTGACACTATCCTATACAATAGGCCGTTTCTGGATAATAAATAGAAAACGCGGAGTAAAGACGATTATTAGCCACTGTGTAAGATAACTGCGATTCAAGGCTCAAACAATCGAGCAACAGATGGGAAATCTTTCAGTTCCCAGAATTACACCGTCGCACCCATTCCTATATTCCGGTTTCGACTACGCAGGACCTATCCAAATCAAAACTACAAAGGGCAGAGAGGTTACAAATCCTATAAAGGGTATATTTTAATCTTTGTCTGTCTTGCTACAAAGGCAATTCACATAGAAGTTGTCAGTGATATGTCATCAGACACGTTCCCTGGCAGTATTCTGGCGATTTTTTTCCACCAGACGAGTAACATATAGGAGCCAGTAAGATAACTACATGATGAAATTTACAATACAATACAGAAGTCAGAGATCCAAGATACCTTAGTTGCAGGTGGAACCCAATGGCACTTCATTCCTCCAGCTTCTCCTCACTTTGAATGATTATGGGAAGCTAACGTCAAGTCTATGAAGTAGGTACCATTTAAAACGGATAATTGGCGATACACCATTCACTTATAAAATAATGAATACGTTACCTAACTCACCAAATGGAAGTTTGCTTTAACTCTGAACCTCTGTGCGCAATATCAGATGATTTAGCAACATTAACTCCATAGGTCATTTTCTAATTGGAAGATAAATTATATCTTTTCCCGATCCAATGACTACAAACATAAACTCGGACGTCGTTGAAAGATGGAAACTAGTTCAGAAAATTAAGAAAAAATTCTGGAAGAGTTGGACAAATGACTATCTCCATCAACTTCAGCAGCGTCACAGCTGGAAGAATCACCAAGATTCACTCAAAATTGGAGATTTAGTTCTAGTAAAGGATCAGAATATTAACCCCACCTACAAACCACAAACTACCAAGTGTTCTGAGCATCCTTCTGAATTCCATTATAGGAATTTACATTGTTCATATTGTAGTAACAGAGCTTCTTCTACAGTGTCAGCACCTGATAGCAAGTCGTCGACATAAAAATCTTTCATAAAGTTGCATCTCTCGTCGTGGGCAAGCTTTTGCAACGTTTTAATAGCTAAGTATGGTGCTGCTGTTGTCCCATAGGTTACAGTCAAATCAAATCAAATAAAATATATTTTAATAAGTAGATTTACAGCTACATAAGAGAAACACTTTACACCTAGATACAATATCAGTGTGTGTACAGCCAGAAACAAATAGATATGAATATATTAATTATCACCCATTGGAACAAAAACAAGCTTGAAAGCGATCAAAGCAATGTAACCCAAATATCTTATACTATACTATACACTAAAATTATTCTCAATCCAAGTTAAGATTATAAATACGCAGAATAATTATTTGAAATTCCTATTACATACTTTTTTATTTATCAATAACAAATGTTTACCGATTATGGTATATCAATATATTAACAGTAGGTACATAAACAATTATGATAATCATCTTCGCAAAACGGAAGCAAAACCTTCAAAGTTTTCCAGGAGTAACTTGTTTATCCTTTTACCATATACAATGAAGCGGATCCTGTGTGCTCAATCACTAATGATTTTTTAGAATCTAGTCAATCTATGTTACCAGACGCTGGGAAACTCATATCACCGGTGGCTGCGAGACACCTCAATCAAAATGAAGAATTGGCACACCTAAATCAAGACTATGAATTGCAACTGACTCTAATCAAGACCAAGAATTGATAAATCAGGAAAATAGAAATACTGAAGATTTACAAGATCAACCACGCAGATCTTCTAGAAGCCGAACTCAGCCAAAGTATTTCTCGGATTATGTCAAAAACTAGACTGGGGGAGAATGTGATATGTTATTTCTAATGCATTCCATTATCACCTGTATCTAATAAATAGCTACTAGTAATACCTTTTTGTTATAAATACTATGTTTGTCACATTGACATTGTTAAATGTATGAATTGTAAAACTAGCTGAGCTTTGCGAATAAAAGCCTCAATTTAGAAAGGTTTAATTACTACAATAGTGTAGTGACTACAGAAGGACTTACTAAACAACCATCCCAGGAGAGATCATCACCTAGACAGCACAACCAGAAACTTCAATTAAAATTTATTTGAACATCGATATCCAGAAATTATTGAAAGCCGATACCCTATATTGACTAATACATTGGAATGTCAATAAAGCAAAAGTTCATGGACCTTTTTTTTAAGTGCTTTCAACAATTAACATTCCAGAAGAGCCGAAAATTTTCTAAAAAGATCAATAAATCATGCACGAGCCTATATGATGTTACCCACTTAACAAACCATTTAGCGACGCCCTTGATAATTAATTAAAAGGGGACCAAATACACTAAATAATCGGATGATTCAGCGAGAAAAAATAAAGAAATTCAAGACAATGGAGGGACCAATGATATAAAAAGGCAACTTTGGCAGGAGAAAATCAGTGTTCGAGAAAGAGCAAGTAAACCGGCAGAACTACGGCATGAAGGACCAGTGTCGGTTGAGTAATCAAGAAACAATTTGTAATCGGGAATCGAGAGACCTGTGTCCAGAAAGTCTACGGCGTGAAAGAGTTGTCGAATTAATCGAAAGAAGAAGCACGACGTGAAATAACAGCGCGAAAATATTCGAGTTTTTTATTAATTGTTCATAATTAAAGTAAATTCCTTCGACCAATAAGATTTCTATGTAATTAGGTGTGGCCAGCAGTAAATATATTATTGTTAAATGTAAGTAGAGTTTTTTTATTTTTAGCCAGAAATTGTGAAGGCAAGAGTGTGAGTCGAGTCAAACTTTAAATTAAAATTTTACTTGGAATCATATAAATGTAAGTAAATATAATTTTACTGTAAAATTATTTATTACCGACGCCTGTTATTTAATAACAAGCATTAATAATTTTAGTAAAATAAACTTTATTTTAATTAACCACAATATTTCTGTGTTTTACTCTCCACCCGCAAATAGGACCCATATAAATCTGTGTCTTCACTCAGAAACTAAAGTCGCCGCTCGCCAATTTAACATCTTGCCAAGTTTCTGAATTTGGGGTCTCACAATAGACAGCCTACAGATTTCTCTATAGCGCCTGACTACGTTCTCTTCATGATCAATTGTAACGTTTTCAATTTCTTGGCTAATAAGCTACCTTGTTTTGCCATACTGGATATGATTCCATATAGAGCTACAATGAAATAAATGAATAAACAACTATCTTTTTTGTGCCCAGATTTTGTTACCTTGAGTGCTGCCTTCTATTGGAAGTTTTTTTGGTTCAGGTTTGCAAGTTTGGTTGATTGATCTGGGAAGGTTTGATTCAGTACGGCAGGGCCCGCTGTTATTGATTAGAGTCTTAGGAATAGGAGTTAGTACCATCACCATCTCTGTTTGCAAATCCAATCAATAATCTGAGGTTATGATAATAATTGTTGTTTTTTTGTACTCTTTGACTTTTCATTTCCATCATGTCATTGAACAGCTGTTTTGTCTAGGCGTTTTCTTTAGACCTGTTCTACCTTTTGATATATGTTCTATAGGCACTTTTCAACATTCACCAGTCATTTTTTACACAACCGATTCTCAGTTCGTACTTTTGGGGTGAAACTGAACACGTCCTTTTCTATAATTTTCTTCAATGTCAAAATTAGAAGTTTAAAAGATGAAAGTCTTCTTCCGAAATCTAAATTCTAAATGAAGAATCTGCCCTTTTGATCTGCGACCTCACGCCGAGTAGTCGTCCGGTCTCGGGCCTCGGCCCTAATTATTTTTGGGGCGAGACTTTTTGGAATTTTGTGCCAGGGAGCTCAAGTTTTAGACTAATTTCTTGCTGATAATTGTCTAGAGTCGTCCCTTGGTCATTTTTGGATTCTGTTTCGGTAAGTTTGAGATTTTCTTCAGGAAATATTAACCTACAACACGTGTTCCATTTTTTTTAATAGGACTGTTCCGAGCAGCATTTGGAAGTTTAAGACTTCACCTTTGGTCTAGAGTATCCCTCAATTTGAGGTAAGTTTATTTCTAATATTTGAGGCTCGATTTGTTTTTTTATACGAACATCGTTATAGGGTCCTAGTCTCAGGCTATAGTTGGACAATCCTAGTCTCAGGCTATAGTTGGACAATCCTAGTCTCAGGCTAGAGTTGGACAATCCTACTCCTAGTTCTAGTTCTAGGCTGTAGCTAAACAGTCTTAGGCTATAGTTGGACAGCTCCTAGGAAGAGATTCTAGACTAGATCTAGATTGCTCTTAGTTGGCTTTCGTAGCCTTTCTCCAGCAACTCTCTTGGTACCGCTCTGCTAGAACCACATTGAGTTCTACGTTACAGTTACTACGTGGATAGGACTCATGACTCACTTACCATACCATAGTCTATCTAATAGTGAGACCAAACCTGTAGATAACCTCACTTTGGAAACTTCTGGATTTTCACATACATTTCACTTATATACATGTAAGTTGCACCTTTACTATTTAGGCAAATCTTATATAAATCATCTGACACCGAATTACGTCGGTAAGTGCCCCTTAAATAAAATTCTAGAATTTTACCCTGAGGTTGCCCAAAGAATAACTTTCACCTTTCTGTGTTTAATTTGCCTGTTGGTAAAGTGTAACCCATACTGTTCTTTTAATCTTTCACAAGTGTTAATAAACAGTTAAAACTGTTTATTTTAAATTCATATATTCATTATTTACATTTTTTTTATTTATTCAGATATTCACAAATTAGGTACAAGCCTAATCCTAAACACCTTTTTAATAACTTCGTGGCTACTTTTTGGCGCAATAGTTAAGTCCTAATTACTTGGTGGCTACACTTTTTGGCGCTTTATTATTATTGTTATTATTTTTTAATAAAGAAAGCCAGATACATTATTGTACCTAATTAGTTGTTTTATTGTTAAGCGCTCCAATTGTGCAAGTTTTGTTATAACATCAATAAGTAATCTTCCTAGTTAAGTCACAATTAACTTGGTGGCGCCTAAAGGTAAGATGTATACAAGGAACCCATAGACCAATGGCCGCCGAACTGATGCTGACTAGCCGTATGCAGTATAATTAGGCAATTGCCAAAATAAGTACGTTATACAATATCATCATCAAAGCCTTCATTGAGTGAAAATTGTGATTGGAGTGAGTCAGCAAAAGCACTTGCTTTCTCTTGATTAGTATACACCAAACCAGCTACCAGCAGCAGATTTTGAAAATACATACGAATTAAGGGGTTTTTGGAGATGCTAAATTTTAATCTGATACAAAAAATTATCTTAAATAAACCCTAATATCTGTTTCCCAAAAATACAATCCCTTTCTACCCCCAATACCGCACGCCAATGGTAAATAAAAATGTTGACTATGTCAAATACCTAGTTCATTTTTCTAACATGCAATCACCACCAAAATTTGAATAAAATCGCATTATTAAAAACTAAGATATTGGGGTGTATTCATGAAAAATGGGACACACTGTATAGTGAACAGAAATATGAAATTGAAGTAATTTAAATAAAACACAGAGCCTGTAAACTAAAAATATAAATTATATCACAGTATGTTTCTACAATATAGAAGTAAATAAAAGTGTAAAACTATAACAAAAGCAAAAGCATTATAGGAAAAATAAATTAAGTTGAAGATATACCTAATATAGAACTTGGATCTTAAATTATTGTGACTACTCATTTGTATTATTGGTATGTAAATTCTTGAACATCAAAATCTAGCTTACTTTATCGAAAAACTCTCCTTCTGACACTCGCATTTCAGATGATTTTCATCATTCAACCTAAATTCTTTAGATTCTCCATCATAATCAATGTAGCCAATGCTAAAAGTAACATTTTCTTTAGCAATTGCAACGCATTTTGGCCTAGTTTTAGTGCAACATCCGGCCCTTTCGCATCGTTTCAGCACTACAAAGGGCTGATTAAACTGAAATAAAACTTGAATATTAATTAATAAAGTAAAAGTCAATTAAATTACCTCTAAAGCTTCACTAGTAAATTCCGAAACTTTGTAAGCTCTAGGCTGAGGCTCCCCGCAGAAAAATTCACTGGCCATTTTTTGCACCATTCTCCTTGTATAAAAATGTTTGCAACAAACCAACGTCACTAGTACAGATAAAACCACCCACGTAGCAGCCATATTAATGCGTTCACTGATAAGAAATGATTATTGGCCACTTTGAAAAATGCCTTTTATAAACCTTGTGACGGAGTCCCGGAGGAAATTCCGGAAAACGATTTGCATTTTGTTTAATGCGTCACACAAAATTCAATTAGGAGGTTGAAGATGAGTCAGAAATGTATTGGTCAAGAATGTTGCAACATGGTTTTTTGAATGAGGCAGATTTCAAGTATTTTTAGAAGTCGACTTTGTAGTACTTATAGCCTTTTTTAATCATTCACATTTCAATAATTTATAATAATTTTTCCGAGTAGGTAGTTAGTCCTACAATTTTCAAAGGAAACAAGATTCCATTTTTTTTCTCAGAAAATATTAGATTAAAAAAGCTTAAAATAAACCAAAATTGATTTGGAGAATCTGAGAACTGAAAGTTAAAAATTGTTTGTTGTAAAAGCTGCTTTGAGCGAAAAAGATTATTTGATTTGACTCAGAAGCTGACTTATGATCCTTTTGTGTGCGTTGTAGTGTTGCAAAAGCTGATTTTAATATTTTATTTTCAAATTTTGATAATTTAAGAAACAAAATGTGTCCTTTTTTTTGAGCCTTTATTACAAAAATGTTACAAAAAAGTTGCCACCAAACATAAGTATTTAATATGTTACAATGATTATATTATTATAAACTTGTCTCAAAATTTACACTCTTATTACCGTTGATGCACACATCTAAAAAGCATGTATCGTCTTTCAAAAAATTACTTTTAAACAAAACTGTGTGTGGTATAAAAATATACGTAAATGAAGATTCTTGTGGCTCGTCTTCCTCTTCTTCTCCGCAGCTTCTTTTGGTTTTGATGAATTTTGAAAAACATTTTGCCTTGAAAATCACTTTTGAAAAATTGTTTAAGTTGAGAAATAGTTATGATTACCTGTGTTTTATCTACTAAATCCCTTAAAGTTATTGTGCCTTCAATTGTACAAGGCCAAGTTAAAAGGGCGTCATATTCTCCTTTGAGTACATGAATACAAGCCAAAGCGTATCTGTTTTTCCATTTTTTGAGGCCGTTTATGTATAGTAAAATCTAGAAATAAAAAAATTGTTGTAAAAGACAACAGCAACATAATAGTTATTTATATTAAGTACTAGTACGGTATGAGCTTCATTACAGTAACAAGTGGGAAATATTGCCACGACAAGTCATGGTAACCACACGAGTGTTGTAATGAGCATTACCGTACGTGTGATAAACAACATTTTATCTACGAGCTGCACAGTAAGTGACTATTGTCGTTTGTCTATTATAATATTAAAAAATTAAAAATAATGACCTCTTACCGCACTAGTGCGATATAATGAACGTATTATGATTCATTACCGCACTAGTGCGATAATAGAGCTCATTACATAACGCAAATGAGCAAAAATTAGTGACCTAATAGTCACTTATTGTGCAAGTCGTAGATAAAAATAATTATTTACTCGTATTTTATATCCAAATCTATGCGTGTAGAAAATGGGACTTTTCAATACAATATCGTTTTCTCTGGTACGTTTTAATTTTGACTCAACGTCGGTTATTTTCCATATGAGTCTTTGATACGGGGTATTGTCGTTGCAAGCTAAATCTTCCAATATTTCCATGTTTATTTTCAATTGGTTGACGTCTTGTTTCATCAAGTTGAATTCCCTTTCGAGTATTTCGATTTTTTCCGCCGCCTCCGAGGAAATTTGACTTACTGAGCGCAAATCGAAGATCAAACCTGAAATTTTTCTGTGTATTATTATTAACAAGCAAAGCTACTTAGGAAAATATGACACTGTATATGATTGACCGACTTATTGACTGGCGAGTCAGCGATAAACGAATATAAATAGTTTTGATTGAATCGGCTTTTACTTGGTGGAAATCCATTATCTAATAAAAGATTTTTTAAGTAAATTTTAATACTTATATATTTCCACAATTTTTTGTTAAACTTTTAACATGTTTCGCTAAACTTTAGCTTCATCAGAAAGATTTTAGAAAAATAAAATGTAGACATAAAAGTGAAATTGACAAATATAAAAAAGGTAAAAGCTGGTCTAATTTTATGTTAATTTAAATAGGTGTATTACACAGTAAATAAATTTAAAAGTGGTGAATTGTTTAAATCTAATTGGTCGTTCAATAAACAGTCTAAATTTTTAAGTTTGTTTATTTCTAAAGATTCTAGAAGATTTAATTTTATCCCTTTGTTTTCATTATGTAGTATTTGAAATTCATTATTAAAATTATGATTTGATTCTATCAGGTGATTAGCATAATTTGAATCTGTTTTCTTTTTATTGAAACTATTGTAATGTTCTTTAATTCTAGTACCAAAATTTCTACCTGTTTGTCCTATATATACTTTTGGACAATCTTTACAAGATAATTTATAAACGCCAGATTTATCACAAATTTTAGTTTTAGATTTATTATTTTTCAAGTGAAAGCCTATTGTATTGTTAGTTTTGAAAGCAACATTTATATTAGATTTAAACAATTCACCACTTTTAAATTTATTTACTGTGTAATACACCTATTTAAATTAACATAAAATTAGACCAGCTTTTACCTTTTTTATATTTGTCAATTTCACTTTTATGTCTACATTTTATTTTTCTAAAATCTTTCTGATGAAGCTAAAGTTTAGCGAAACATGTTAAAAGTTTAACAAAAAATTGTGGAAATATATAAGTATTAAAATTTACTTAAAAAATCTTTTATTAATATAAATAGTGGTCGGCACATTTTGTGTCCAATGTCTAGCTGGGAAGCAGCATAGACTTTCATTTCCAATAAGCAAATCGAGAGCAGAAGGGACTTGTGATTTAATTCATGGTGATCTTTGCGGACCATTTGAAGTATCGTCTCTTGGCGGAGCAAAATATTTTTTATTATTAAAAGACGATCATTCAGGTTATAGGCAAATTTATTTCCTAAAAAATAAATCAGAAGTAGAAAGTAAATTCAAAATTTTTATCAATAATACTGAAAATATAACTGGAAATAAAATCAAGACGTTCAGGACAGATAATGGATTGGAATTTATTAATAAAAAAATAACAAAGATATGTGAAGAAAGAGGAATTTGTCATCAAAGAACATGTGCTTATACACCAGAGCAAAATGGGCGTATAGAAAGAGATAATAGAACAATAGTGGAATCTGTGAGAACTCTTTTGCATAGCTCAGGTTTAGGAAAACGTTTTTGGGCGGAAGCTGCAAATACTGTAGTATATACATTGAATAGAGCTGCAAAGAGTCCTCAAAATGACAAAACACCTTTTGAAGTGTGGCATGGAAAGAAATGCAATAGGGATATTTTTCAAGAATTTAGCGTAAAAGTGAGTGTACATGTTCCCAAAGCTAAACGTTTGTAATTGGATGCTAAAAATGAAATTGGTATTTTTGTGGGATACTCTGAAGAAGTAAAAGGCTTAAGGGTATTTTTGCCACTGAAAGAAAAAGTTGAAATTCACAGGGATGTAATTTTTATACCTAAAAATGATAATACAGATGAGAATAGAATAAAATTGGAAAAAGACAGCAAAACCACTATTTCTCTAAATTTTGAAAATAACAGTGACTATTTCACTAGAGTGTATTACACCAGCAATAAATTCGGTATTCACCTGACAATAATGCTACCTGGACAAGACCAACAACATGGTATTTCAGCGACCATTTTTTGACATTGTCAAACTGGTATTTTTAATTTGAAGTTTTTATTAATAATTTTGCATTCTATTTATTTTCAAAATCTTACGTGAAATAGTCATGACGAATACCACTCGAGAAAAAATTGTGTAGGCAAAATTGTTCTCAAGGTTTTATTCAAGTTTGTTGCTTTTCGAAGAAAACTTAAACGAACCGGAATACGAGACTGAAACACCTGAAGTGATTCCAGAACAGGAAAATGTACCTCGAAATATAACTAGAAGACATGGTATCAAGAGACCAACATGGTTAAAAGACTTTGATGTGTTCGGAGATTCAGCTGGGCTGCGTTCAGAAAAGGCTACAGCCAAGCCAAAATTGGCATTTTGCGTTGGAGTTCGGCTCCAACCTACGTGGTTTGGCATTACCGGTAGAGGGGGAGAAGTAGGTTTTGGCATTAGCATTGCCGTCCTTGAACGCACCCCAGATATGTGTTTTTATTCAGAAAATGAAGGACCAGTTACTTTTGAGGAAGCTGTTTCAGGGAAAAATAGTGATAATTGGAAAGAAGCTATCAAAAAAGAACTTAATGTGCTAAAAAAAAATGAGACTTGGAGTGAAGTACCTTGGCCAGTGGACAAAAAGGTGATTGACACAGGATTGTGAAGATTTGTATGATATTTACGCTCCTGTTGGCAAACTTACAACTTTCAGAGTTTTTATTGTGATTGCATGCAAGTTGGGTAAGCCTATTTTTCAAATGGACGTCAAGAGTGCTTTCCTACATGGGGAAATAAATGAGGAAGTTTATATGAGTCTACCTGGCAATAATAGAAATAATAGCAGTACTGTTTAAATGAAAATAATGATGCTGAGTTGCAGAAACTGTGCAGACAGATTATTGGTAGTCTTATCTATGCAGTTCAAGGTTCCAGACCCGATCTTTGCGAAAGTGTCAATCTACTTAGTAGATATCAGGATAAGGCTAACAATAATTTGTTGAAGGCATTCAAAAGAGTCGTTAGATATGTTAAAGGTTCTATTGATGTTAAATTATTGTTTAAACCAGATGTTGATGATAAAATTATAAGTGGTTATGCCGATTCCGATTGGGGAGGAGATGTTACCGATAGAAAATCAACAACTGGATATGTTTTTAAATTATTGAATTGCTGTTTATCGTGGAACAGTAAAAAACAGCAATGTGTTTCAATTTCTTCCACCGAAGCCGAGTACACAGCTTTAACATTAGCAGTTAGCGAAGCTTGCTGGTTGAAAAAATTAATTAATGATTTTCAGTTATTTAGTCTGGAAATGCCAATTATCATTCATGAAGATACTCAATCTGCTATCAAGATTGCAAATAATCCGGAAAATAATAAAAGATTGAAACATATTGACATAAAATTCCATTTTGTTAAAGAAAAGTTGGACACTGGCATAATAAACATTATTCACATTAAAAGTGAAGACCAATTGGCAGATATGGTTTACTAAGCCATTGGCCAGAGTTAAATTTGAAAAATTTAGAAAAGATTTGGGTTTGTTTTGTTAAACCAGATTTTTTCTTAAATTTTAATCACTTCGTTTTATTTTTCATATTATGAATAAAATAATTTTATTGAGGGGGCATGTCAAAAACTACAATAGAAATTATTTTATTATTGATTATTTATGTTAAGGTTATATTTATGACAAAATGTGACAACAATTTGATAACGACAGTTGGTAAATTTGGTGGTCATCATAAAAGAAAAGTAGTGGGCTTTTCTGTTTGTGAAGATAATTCAGTTGTTATGTTGTCATGGTTTGACAATAATTTTAATTTTGTAATTATTGTAAATTTTTATATTAAAAAAACAGTCACGAAGTTAATACTGGCGCCGTTCTTCGTTTCATTTCAATAATTATCAACACCAATTCTTAAATTTAATTTAAGTTACAAAATTCTAAAAACAAGAAAAACATCAATTGGAAAATTTAAAGGTCTTATGGCCGTTTTCCCAGCACTCGTAAAGGATAGTTTAAGAATACTTTAGTGCTAAGAAATCCTTAGCGGTAGCTTTTCGTTTGCTTTGCTTGTTAGTTGTCCCTTTAAGGACTTTTTAACTAAAGTGGCCAAATTTGGCGTCTTAAGTTTATAAGTAGAGAATTCTAACCTCAAAATTTAATTTGGCATTTTTGGTTTGGCATGTTTGTTTGAATCTTATTTTTGTCAAATTGGATTATTGTCTCAAAATAATGGAATTTGTGAACGATGATTTAGATTTTTTCGATATTATCTGAAATGGATTTCCACGAAGAACTTATGAAAGAGCTAATTACTTGGAAGAAATGGACATTTTTTCTATTTTTTCAACAGGTTTCGGCGAAAGAAAGATACAATACAAAACATAATTCCTCAGAACAATTTGTAGTTTTTATTTAACAAAACAATTCAGAACCTACGTGAATCTAGCTCTACAGCATAAAGGCGATTTGATTGTGTTGAGAGGCGTTTTTACAAGTCCATTGATTTTAAAACTGAGTATATCAGGTTTATCGATGAATATGGGTCATATGTCGAAAGTGAGCCCCAAGTCTCTTGACAATGAACCAAATTTTTATCTTCTTCATCATGCGGTGCAGAAAGAGTCAAGTACTACTACAAAGCTGCGAGTGGTCTTTGATGAGAGTGCTGCAAGTAGTAGTGGCGTTTCATTGATCGATTGCTTACGAGTTGGATCTATAATTCAAGAAGATATTTCTAACATAGCCCTTCGATTTTGATTACGACCTTTTGTTCTGACAGGGGACATTGCAAAAATACCTATATAGAATGGTGCTAGTCCATCCAGACGACTGAAAAATGCAGAGAATATTTTGGCGTGACAATCAGCAAGACGAACTGCAGGTTTTTTGCCTAAATACGGCCACCTATGGTATGAATTCTGCACCATTTTCGTTGCTTACAAGAAGCAGCTCATCAAAATATACATAATTTTCCTGAAGCCTGTCAGACAATACTAAAAGACTTTTACGTAGACGATCTGATGACAAGCATGTATACATTTGAATAAGCAGCCAAATTGAAATGTT